GCCCCCAACCCAGAGCGCTGCTTCTGCCTCCGGTACCAACGCAGGGGAACACGGAAGGCAACGCTCTGTTTTTGCGTCTCCCTATGTGAGGAGCTGGTACGCGGTGGGGACTGCTCCCGCCCAGCAGCCCTCGGAGGAACCGCTGAAACGCCGCCGCCTGTTTACGAGCCTCCTGGTCCCTGTTGACGACGGAATTGACAGCGTCGCCGAACAGGCCAAAAGGCGCAAGCGAGGCGTCGAGGAGGAAGACCCTGTCTTTATCCTTCATATCAGACAGGGTCAACCACAGAGCGATGTTATCAGAGTTAAGCTCCTCGCCCTCATCCAGCTCTTTAAGCAGGTCGGCCTGGTACGCCTGTAACACCGACATCGTGTGCAGACACGCACCGGCCTGACCCGCTGCCATGTACCCCTTGCCCACCAGCGCTGATGTTGTACGCAGCGGCTTAGAGGGCAGTGCCGGAGCCTTTAAGGACGATGCCATGCCTGGGGACAGATAGCTAGCTAGCGTCTGTTCAACCTGGGGCATCGCCTTATAGCCACGCTCAGTCAGCCCTGCCACATTACCATAATAATCTGAGGCAGGGATGAAGAGACGGGCCGAAAAAGGCCTGGCCCACGACCTCGACACCTCAGTGTGAAGGTCGGGGGAAAATGGCAGGCTCCGGCATGGAGGTGGCGGCCTCGCGCGCAGGAAGCTTTCATCCAACTTGCTTCGCTGCGACTCGGCCTGCTTCTCGGCGGGCCAATCGATCTTTAACGACTACATGTTTTATTTAATTTAATTTAAATTTAACAGTAATTTACTTTCAAATGCCCCAATTGCTGAAGGGTCTGCACAACTTTTTAGTACAATTTCAAGTTGCATTGTTCAGAATACCTGTAGTAGCACAGCAGTGCATACCTGTTTACATTTAATTAAGGTGGACTAGATTAGACTGTAATACAAATAGTTGAGTTTGCCAGGTGCATACAACATTTATGACAGATTTTCATGAAAGTGTTGGTCAGTTTGTCTGCTTGACAATCCCATTTTGCACTGCAACAATAAAACTGAAGTTATATAAACAAACTGAAAAATGTTTCTTTTTAGTTAAAACAGATGTTGTCAAAGTTTTCCTTTGGGGACATAATTTGGAGTTGGAAAAAGGTAATAAATTGCAATATATCGCAGAATATCGCAATATATTTAAAATCGCAATAATATTGTATCGTGACACAAGTATCGTGATAATATCGTATCGTGAGGCCTCTGGTGATTCCCACCCCTAGTAACCATTGACAACAGAGACATCCGGAAGAGAGCGCGACTAGCCAACTCACCGAT